CCAGTGATCTAGAGGTCAAGAGTTCGCGCTCGAGTCCGTAGGTACTGGTTTGGAATCTCTCAGGTCGTGGTCGTGGATACGCACTACTAAGGAGTCTCATACTAGAACGAAACAGTCGTCTATTGCTCTCAGGTTTTCCATGATGATCTAGCTTTAATTGACTCATGAATTCAACTATTGATTTATTATAATCTCTATAAAACCCCCTTTTGAGAATAATTTTATAAGATGAATGAAGTCAACCATATTGTTTCATAACTGAATAAATTTTAAGCATTCCTACAATTGAAGAACATATGGAACTCAAAACAACTTTCAACCAATATCAAAGTGAGAATCTTCAATACGAACGTCAAGGCAGTTCTACTGTATGGACCTGAAACTTGGAGAACTACAACAACCACAATCAAGAAAGTACAAGTATTTATAAATAGCTGTCTACGCAAGATACTCAACATCCATTGGCCGGATACCATCAGCAATAGCCTTCTGTGGGAGAGAACAAACCAACTTCCAGCTGAAGAAGAAATTAGGAAAAGACGATGGAAATGGATAGGACATACATTACGCAAATCGTCAAACTGCATCACGAGGCAAGCCCTAACTTGGAATCCTGAAAGGAAGCGAAAAAGAGGAAAGCCAAAGAACACATTACGTCGGATAATAGAAGCAGATATGAAAACGATGAATTACAACTGGACGGAACTAGAAAGGATTGCCCAGGACAGGGTTGGATGGAGAACGCTGGTGAGCGGCCTATGCTCCTTCACGAGGAGTAACAGGCGTAAGTAAGTAAGTAAGTATATTTCACACGGTTACAAGTTTATTAAACAATTTGGATAGTAAATAAAACTGCATTTGAAAGTAAACTACTTCATATGAACATCAGTGCTGTAATGAAATTGTATACCATGAAAACATTGATCATAGTGTATTGAACGAGAACTAAGTTAGAGAAACATCAAATATTGTTTCATACAAAGTTACAGAGAGTTTTTGTTGTTGTTGTTGATAAAATGTTTAAACCATACATTACATACTCCCTCACTTGTCTTAAACTTCATCGTTTCTTCATTGCTATTACAATTATTCTCTGTTCCAGTTCTCTTCAATCTGTTCTTCCTAATCTTATACTACCTACTTATATCGACAGATATAAGTAGTATACACTAAAATTGGTGGGAAAATATGAGATAATATGGATAGTATGGATAATTGATTGACTTTTATTTATAAAAGAACACGTACTGATTTTTTAATAATTAGTCATTGTATTTCAAGATTAATCAGCAGCACACAATCTAAACAATCAGTCAGTAAGTTAGCAACAACGTAGGACTTCGTAAGTTCAAGTTGCAATACCACATTAGCACACAGATACAATTGTCGATTCAAATTCCATAGTGGTAGAGGTAGTAAGAGTATAAGCAGTAATCGGAAATATTAGGATTCGAAGATGTTATTCAAAGAGTATAATCCAGTGAAATAAATTTGAAAAGAGAACAAGTAAAGGAAATGAAGAATTCAGATTAGAATTTGCGAGAACACAAAAAGTGGATGCACTTGCACCACTGCAAACGATTTTGAGCCATGTCATTCACAGTCTCTAACCATCAGTTGCTATCATCTCGCGGATCCAAACCAGGTAGTCTACACCTACCAACGTGGCTCAGTCCACTTGTCAGTGACTTCATGCATTTGTGTCATGTTTTATTCTGACCGCCCCTAGCTTTCTTCCAACCTACTCCTACACCGTAAAACATCGCACGTCGAGGCAGTCGGTGGTTGGGCATACGTAACACGTATCTCAGACATCTCAACTTCATCATTTTATTTGCCATCCTTACATAGTACCCGTTTCCTAACAACTGCATTAATTACTCGGTGGTCCCAGGATATACGAGCAATGCTTCGAAAACACCTATGATCGAACACAATCGAAAACAATACTGAGAATCAAATCTAGGTAAATTCCATGTATTTATACAACAGTTACCGAATAATTCGAAAAATGCATAGGATTAAATATTGAAAATGTAATGCAGACAAGAATCTACAGATTTCTGATCACTGCTTTTCCAAGGAGAAAAATACATACTTCACTATGTTTTACTTACTGACTTCTCGTGGCGGAGGTGTTTCTTATAAAATTAAGAGGACGAAAAGAGAATGTCCGGCGCTTTAACTGGGTTGGTGGGGGAGTTGAAAAACCCTGATTTCAAACCAATGATCCACATAGGCTCCAGGATTCTGAGGGACCAAATGGCGTATAAGCCAATCGGTTACCGTGGGATTGCATCTGCTTGCGTTACTCCATTGTCTTGTGGATTAGACCTTTAGATGGCCCTTAAGAAAAGCACCTGCTTCGGTTTGGGCACCCTGGAGGTATCTCAACCCTCACATATATCTATGGTTATAGGAATGAGTAATGCTTCAAAGACAACATTCAGACTACACACATTATATAATTTACCACAACTGATTTAAGAGTGCTGGGATGCAAACACATCCAGCTAATAAATATTATCATTGATTAATCATATTGGCGTGAGTCTTAGAGTCATTACGCTTCACAAACTGAGACAACACTGAATTCTCCTGATAACTATCCGTAAACCAATCATCCCTACTTTTACATTCAACGTGAAATTGTTAACCTCGGATGCTTATTTTGTTAGTGCTAAACTCTTTCATCTCTATATAATATGATATCATATTCTTGTCTTGATCACTAGATTAACAAACAAACCACGTCTTTTTTTCAATGAGATTATGGATACCTTCTGAAGAACAATATAGTACACCCCCCCCTCAAATAAGTACCTTTTGATCAATTCCTATTACAGGGTAACATTATAATGTGTGTGTATGTGTGTGTGTGTGTGTAGTGAAACAATTTGCCAAGTTTATTGAATATCTATGGTTATGGGAATGAGTAAGAGATATATGTAAATAATAATTAGTGTAAACTGAAGAGATAATTTTGAATTATTAGTTCTGGTTAGCGGATATGAAAAGGATGAATAACAACTGGAAAGAACTGGAAAAGATTGCCCAGGACAGGGTTAAATGGAGAGTGCTGATGGGCAACCTATGCTCCTTCACAAGGTGTGGTAACAGATGTAAGTAAGTAAGAAGAGAAAATGAGTTAAATTCAACCTTCTAATCATCAGATATTAATCTAATGGATCAATGAATTTGAATGTTTCCATGAAAGATCGATGTGGAATCATTCAGCAAGATCTATTCTTGAAATTATTCATTGAGAAGTTAAATTTGATAACAATCTAGTAATCAATCAAACAATACAAACTCGATGAGAATTGAACAAAAGAAACCTTAACTAAATCTTGTCTGTATAGCATTCAATGTCATAGAATACTGGACACTTTTTGATGAAGTTTTGTTCAATGAGCTAAATGGTTTGATCGTAGAGCTTTTATCGTTCTTCTGAACGACGTCATCAGCACAAACTACAGTTAGAACACTATATGTCCACACTTTGTTATATGTGAGAAGAAAATGTTAGCTGAGTTGGTGAGACTATAATTTATGGACGAACAAATCAGATATAAGATAACAGGTCTCAGATTTTAGGCGTGAAATTCACTCATCCATTTTGGTAAATACAGTCTTGGCATTATAGCTGATGTCAGTTTAGTGACAAAAACCCTGAATCTAATTTCTAACTTTAACGATCAACTGTAAATCATCATTCCAATTCCTCACACTGATTTATAACCATCATTTGATCCTAGTTATTAGGTATACACCCTCAAAGTCAGTCTAGAGTCGTTCAAAGGTCGTCCATAAATTATAGTCTCGCCATTGAGTTTATATTAGAAAGTAGATTTGTCCATTAGGCAGTATTAGAACCCTATAGAATAAGAATGGCTATTGATTTAGATTCATATAAAACTGATTAGGGTAACAAAAGAAGCTAAACGTATGTACAGTTCCTGTGTTGAATACAAAATCATATGAATTATTATCATTTCTATTGATTGCATGATTCAATACCATACTACATTCTACTGATTAAACTTAACATATTAATTATTGGAAATTAATGAAGAGATTTTTGTAGGGTTTTTTTTTTCGTTACCGACTGGGTTCAGTTGAGTTACCATTGTAATACAAACAATACACTGGACAGTTGTTTCATCCTAGTACAAGTTTCCCTAGCAATATGTACCCATAATGATATTAGGGATAGAATCTTGAACCAACATGTCGCATGATAAGTGTCTAAACAATCAGATTATTTGGTTAGTTACTAATGGTATACTTTTAACTTCGATTTGATTTCTAAAGAATACTTTAATCTATAATTATTTCAATAGGATCAGAAGGTCTAAGACAAATTATCACAATATGCATATGATGTTGTAGAAACCTTTTTAAATATTGCCTTAATTCAAAAGCAGTATAAGCAAAAAATGGAACGTGGCTAGTAGTGTAATTCAGAATAGACGTTTCGTTCTATTTCGGACTTTTCAGTTGAATTTACCTGTAATGTCAGAGTTAATATTGACTCTAAGGCTCGAACTCAAAACCATTCCCTTGAAATGTCATCGTGTTATCCATTAAGCTACTGATTCTTGATAGCTACTTGCTTATGCAATGACTTGAAGTTTAAATTCCCTTGATATTGTTTACTTGAATATTTCCATTGATGTTTAGGGCTACAATCGATCAGTCTTTTATTGGCATATGTGTATATTGTAAGAATTGTCTTGCTATTGCCTTAGTTTACAAGTAGTCTAAGCAAAATAGATAATACAATAGTGTTTGAAGTGAATGGTACTGGGTTTGAGTTCCAGAGTGAATATTAATTCAGATATACAGGTATATCAAGCTGATGAGTCCTAACTAGGACGAAACGCGCGTCTTGGATTCCACTGCTATCCACTATCCATTTTTACTTCGAATAATAATGATAATAATAATAATACACATTATGCAAATTACAAACTCTACATATATAATATAAAACTTACATTGACCATTACATCTTCGGATTATTTTATCCAAAAATGTATTCTGTGGTGCTACAAGACCTCGTCTAGATCCACTCATTATTATTATTATTATTATTATTATTATTATGATAATGATTATGATTATTAAAGTAATAAACTGAAATTAAAGATCATATTTCCTCTATTATACATGACCATCATCTTTATCATCATTATCATCATCATCATCATAGCAGTGGTAGTAGTAGTAGTAATAGGGGTAGTAGCAGTAGTAATAATAATAATAATTCCATAGTTCAATTTCCATAATAATCCTGTTGAATTTATTCCATAGAATACACTTTCATTGAATAGTCCAATGAATAGTGATATTGTAGTTGTTATTGATAAGATAAGATAATTACAAAGCTAATTAAATAGAATCCATTAGATTCACTGAATTGTATATGATGGATCATTCAAACTGATATCAATACTAATATGAATATGATTAATCATATTTTAATCATTCAAAGAACTTCATAGAAGTAGAATATTCTAGAACTATAACTTGAATATAAACAAAAAGAGGAAGAAGAAAAAGAAGAACAAGAAAAAGAAAAAGAATCAATTTTCTTTTCTTTTAAATATGTCGCTAATTTATGTATCATTCTTTTTAGGGTGATGATGAGGATGAGGATGATGATGAGGATGAGGATGATTACGTAATCTTTGGTTCAATATCCACATGATAAAATAAATTCCATAGTGTTTAATTTTTAAAATGTTTCCCCCCCCCAACTCTCTCTCTCTTTCCGGTTTCTTTTTTTTATATACAGTGATATAAATCCAACAACATTGTTATTAACTATTCATCATTATTATAGATATGAATCAATGAAGAAATACGATGAATGAATATTCCTTGTGGGATTCCCTTTTTTGTCGGTGATGTTGTTGTTGTTGTTGTTGTTGTCTTTATTCAATTCTGTTGATGGTGATAGTGACGATGTTGATGATGATGATGATGATGGTGATAGTGTTGGTTGATGATGATACTAAGCATGAATTCCATACAGTTTTATGATTATCCTTATTACCCTTATTATTATCATTATTGTTACCATCAATGTGATAATTGTCACTATGAAGTTATTATCATTATTATTATTTAAAAATTGACCAATTATTTTTATTTTTCCCTAGATTTCAAATACTCAATTCAACATTTATCCACCCATTCTATACAGTTAGTAGTTAGTAGTTAGTAGTAGTTAAATGATAAATGTTCTATATATCTATATCTATCTATATGTATATATGTATATACATATTGCATAAAATGATAATCATTATTGGTAGTATATTATAATGAGTAAAAGCATGTGTCTATAGGGTATGAAAGTGAAGAGTATAAAAATAAAAGGGAAATATATATATATAAAGAATGAATTGTGGATTTATGCATCCATGACAACAATCATACACTTATATATATATATATGAATAGTAATACATAGATAGATAGATAGATAGGAAAAAAAAGAGATCTATGCTCATAAACAACATATACACATACACATACACATACACACACAGACATACATATACACAAGTATATACATTCAGATACACACATGTATAAACATGTAAGTGAACCAATATACTTTCGTCTATTTATGGATGCGTATTGGTCTGTACATACTACTCATATATATTTATATCTACCATAATAGAATGCCCTAAAATGTACAACATTATTTTATAATTAATGATTAGTCAGGAATTGTATTTCTCTTTCTTTTTTTTTCTATTTTGTAAATAAGAGACAGAGAGAGTGAGAGAGAGAGGGCGAGAGTGAGAGAGGAAAAGATAATTAACATTGTGCTTCGTCACGAATTAATAATAATAATAATAATAATAATAATAATAATTAGTCTAAATTTATTTAGCTATTCAACTAACTGAGAATTAGACAACCAGTAATTACTTACTTACGCCTGTTACTACTCGTGAAGGAGCATAGGCCACTCACCATCATTCTCCATCCAACCATGTCCTGGGCAATCCTTTCTAGTTCCGTCCAGTTGTAATTCATCCTGTTCATATCTGCTTCTATTATCCGACGCAATGTTTTCTTTGGCCTTCCTCTTTTTCGCTTCCTTTCAGGATTCCAAGTTAGGGCTTGCCTCGTGATGCAGTTTGACGATTTGAGTAATGTATGTCCTATCCATTTCCATCGTCTTTTCCTAATTTCTTCTTCAGGTGGAAGTTGGTTTGTTCTCTCCCACAGAAAGCTATTGCTGATGGTATCCGGCCAATGGATGTTGAGTATCTTGCGTAGACAGCTATTTATAAATACTTGTACTTTCTTGATTGTGGTTGTAGTAGTTCTCCAAGTTTCAGCTCCATACAGCAGAACATACAGTAGAACAACCAGTGAATATTAGGAACTATTAAGATTGATTTAACTTCATACATGTAAAGTATTAGATGATAAACTACTCACTTACTGATTTAGTTACTTATGTACGGATGTTATCACACCTCGTGGAGGTGTATAGGTTTCTAACTAACATTGTTCATTCAAATTTCTCCTGGACAATTGTTTCCAGTTCCTGATCCTATTTCCTCATGTAATGTGTTCTTCGAACTTCCTGTTCTCCTTTTACATTCAACATTCCAAGTAAGAGATTGCCTATTGATGTAGTTTGATGATTTACCCAATGTACGTTTTATTCACTTCCAACATCTTTTCGTAATTTCTCTTTCAACTGGACGTTTCTTTGTTCTCTCTCTCTCACACACACAGTACACTGTTACTGATTGTATTCGGCCAATGGATATTGAGTATCATGCGTAGTAGTTCTCCACGTTTCAGTTCCTGCACAGTATGACTGTGTTAACGTTCGTATTGAAGATTCTGACTTTGACATTGATTGACAGTTGCTTTGAGTTCCATAGTGATCTAAAAACAAAACGCTTTTGTTCAACGTTTGAAGGTCGTGAATTCGATACCTAATCAATTTATAGATCTATAATCCTAAATAGTTCGATAATAGGATTAAGTAGATGTCATATACTTCATAGTTTTTGACGATTGAAAATACTTAGTTGATAATTAATCTTCAAAGAAGATGTTTTTGATTAATATTTAGCTGAATTTCCAGATTTCGACTGAGCAGGTGATTGGCATACATTTGTAATACAAGCGTTATCATCATAAGAACCAATCAACGTTGAGATGTACAGAACAAGCTGTGAAACGCATATGGAGAAATTCGAACACTTCACTTCTATTTGAAGTTTGTGCTGATGATGTCGTTCAGAAGAACGATGAAAGCTCCACGACCAAACCATCCAGCTCAGAGAACAAAACTCCACCAAAAGTTATCATCATCTTCCTCGTCGTACATTTGTCAGTAAAAGAAACCTATGAATGATCTTATCATGTTATGAAAACCATCCATGAATTTGTTAAGTATATTTCTGAGAAACGTTGGTAGATTTAGACTTTCTGGCTTGAGGTCATTTCAATTGTAGAATAATTTCAGGGCTTTTATCCTTTCCTCCTATTTATTTCTTTTGAAATACAGTTCTCATGTTCAAATTTTCATTAAATTTCTTACTATTTCCATTCATCTATTTATCATAGTGCTAATGTGAACTTGAGAGATGTTAGTTGACACAAACTGGTACTAGATTCTAATTTGACTAAGATTGACGGAGATCGTATGATGAATCTTATACTTTTAGACCACTTCATCGAAGTTGAATAGTTCATATTCCTGGTTCCTGTATGTGTTGCCCTGACCTATTTGAAAACAAAAGAGAGGATATATTAAGTATAAAATCATTTCTAATACCCTATACATTATAATCAAATCAATTCTTTATAATGAAGAGGTTCATTTTCTCAAGCATCTAAGGGTATAGTAAGAGAATCTGAGAATCTGTGGGCAACTGTTTTTTATACATTTTCCAAGAGATCTGGAAAGTCATTTAGACACGATCTTGGTGTGTGTGTGAGTGTGTGTGTATAGTTTTCCCAACTGTACTTCACTATGGTTAAATAAGCTTTGATAAACATTTGTATTCAACTTATTGAAGGTTTGTTTTAGAAAAAACCATTCCGTTCTAAATTCTTCAGCTGTTATCGAACAACAGAGAGTCTTAAGGTCTTAAGGTCAGAACAATTCCTAGATTATTATGAGTTTTGATTAAGCACTAGGATATTTCCATTATGCCATTTGGTAAATAAAGAAGGAACGAATTGAGCGAAGAAATTTCTTTTCAATTAGTTTTTCATCATGGCTCTACACTAATATATATACGTTTTACAATAATAATATAATACTCATCGAGTGGATACGTTACGTAATAATTACATAATGACATTTAAATTAACATTAATTAATTGGAAGAAAGAGGATTATTAATATTCAAAGTGATCAAGAAGTTGCTAAGTTGCGTAATGTAAGAAACAAAGAAGGAACAGAATTTTAGCGGATGGTCAATAGGATGGTAGTTACGTAAGAATCAAGAGATGAATGTTGAGAAGTTATAAGGCTCAAAAGTGATAGAAACAATTTTTGTAATTTTGTTTCTATCACTTTTGAGCCTTATAACTTCTCAACATTCATCTCTTGATTCTTACGTAACTACCATCCTATTGACCATCCGCTAAAATTCTGTTCCTTCTTTGTTTCTTACATTACGCAACTTAGCAACTTCTTGATCACTTTGAATATTAATAATCCTCTTTCTTCCAATTAATTAATGTTAATTTAAATGTCATTATGTAATTATTACGTAACGTATCCACTCGATGAGTATTATATTATTATTGTAAAACGTATATATATTAGTGTAGAGCCATGATGAAAAACTAATTGAAAAGAAATTTCTTCGCTCAATTCGTTCCTTCTTTATTTACTAGGATATTTCTTCAATATTGCTGTCATTACCATTTTCGTATCCAGTTTCGATGGGTATACACGTAGTACCAATTATAGGTGGTTACCACAACTTGGACTAGCTTATCAGAACATCAGTATAGCTCTAAAGTACAGAATACATGATCATAATGATAAGTCTTCTAACCTCGTGCTACTAACC